TTTAGAAAAATTATTAGCTAAAATTAATGATGTTACACCATCATTATTAGATAAGTCTAAAAGTTTTTCTAAAAAATTAGAACAAACCACTATTAAACCTCCAGTTGAAATTTCAGGATTTAAGAGAGATAGTGAAATAACCCCTGAAATTATAGATATTCTAGCCACTAAATTAACCCATGCTAGAATTCACACGCTTAATGAAGCATCACCTTCTTTGGATATATCTGAAGAAGATAGTGAATCCGATAAATCGGATAGTTCTGGAGATATACCTCCAACAGAATTATTGGCTGTAGAGAATAACTTTACAGAAATAAATAAAATTAAAAATTATCCTAAGAAAAGACTGGAAAGGTACTATTATAAGCAACCTACTCTAGCAGATGTCTTATTTGAAGAAAATGATGCCTTTCTATAGGCAGATTATAATGGTAGACATATCTACGAATGGAATATAGATGGGTTATCTGATACCCAAGTTAATGCTACTATACATCGTATGTTAATGTATGGTACTATATGTAAACAAAATGGCAATACTGAGAGAAATATAGCCCTATTCATATCATGCGGTTTTACTGGTATCCTTAAAGGATGGTGGGATAATTATCTCTCTGCTGATGCTCGTAATGAAATCTTAGGAGCAACGAAAATTGAAAATGGAATACAGCGAGAAGATGCTGTATATACCTTAATGCTATCTATAGCTCACCATTTTACTGGTGCTTACCTTGATGAAGGTGAAAGAATAAGGACACTATTACAAAATTTTCGTTGTCCATCTTTGACCCATTATAGATGGTATAAAGATACTTATTTAAGTAGAGTTATGTCTTTAAGTGATGCTAATAGCTCACATTGGAAAGCTAAATTCATAGATGGCTTACCCACATTATTTGCTGAAAGAGTTAGGAATAAAATTCGAGCTGAATTTGGGGGATATATTCCCTACGATAACCTATCATATGGGTATTTGTCAAACGCCTGTATTAAAGAAGGCCTAGCCTTATGCAATGACTTAAAGCTCAAAAACCAATTAAAGTCTCAAAGACTTACAAAACGTAAAGAATTAGGTGAATTTTGCGAGCAATTCGCTTATAATCAACCTTATAAGGCTGATAAAGAAGTTATTCCTAATAAAGGAAGATAATGATATTGATAATAATGCATTGTTGCAAATATTGCAACAAGTTACCTCTCAAAAATGGTATATAAATGTTACCTTAGTAGTAGCTGATCAAATGTATATATCAGATCTTATAGCTCTAGTTGATAGTGGTGCAGATCTAAACTGCATAAACGAAGGAATAATTCCTTCCAAATTCTTTGAAAAAACTACTCAAACTTTAAGCAGTGCTAATGGCAACCAATTAGAAGTAAAATATAAATTACCACAAGCACATATATGTGTGCAAGGGACTTGTATACCAACTCCCTGTATATTAGTCAAAAATTTATCCCAACATATTATTCTGGGAACTCCATTTTTACATACTATTATGCCCATTAGTCAAATTGACACTAATGGTATTCGTGCTCATTTTGAGGATAAAGAAATTATATTTGAGTTTATCACAGATCCTCAAACTAGAATGCTGAATGAAGTTAAAAATATAATTTTAAAAGAAAATCAAATTAATTTTCTTAAAGAAGAAGTAGTATTTGTTCAAGTTGAAGAACAAATAAAAAAGCATAAAGACTTAATAAGTCAAATTGAAACTAAATTTAAACTCACTGTATGCAGTGATGTTCCAAATGCATTTTGAAATAGAAAACAACATATTGTTTCTTTACCCTATATAGGGGATTCAACGAGAAAAATATTCCTACTAAATCTCGTCCATGTCAAATGAATCAAGAATATCTTGATCTTTGTAAAAAAGAAATACAAACTCTTATAGAAAAAAAATTAATAAGGAAATCATATTCTCCTTGGAGTTGTACTGCACTCTATGTAAATAATGCAGCCGAAAGAGAACGAGGAGTTCCTCGATTAGTTATAAACTATAAACCCTTAAATAATGTCCTTAAATGGATTAGATATCCAATTCCTAATAAAAGGGATTTATTGAATCGCATTACTAATGCTAAAATCTTTTCCAAGTTTGATTTAAAATCAGGCTATTGGCAGATCCAAATAGAAGAAAAGGATAAATATAAAACTGCCTTTGTTGTCCCATTTGGACATTATGAATGGAATGTTATGCCATTTGGGCTTAAAAACGCCCCTTCTGAATTTCAAAATATTATGAATGAAATTTTTATTCCTTATACGGATTTTATCTTGTCATATATAGATGACATTTTGATCTTTTCTCATAATTTTGATCAACATGTTAAGCATTTAGAAATATTTAGAAATTTAGCCAACAAAAATGGGTTAGCTATATCTGCCCCTAAAATGAAATTATTTCAAACTCAGATTAGATTTCTGGGTCACAATATAGAAAAGGGAACCACAATTCCTATTGATAGGAGTATAGAATTTGCATCTAAATTTCCTGATGTAATAACTGACACTAAGCAGTTACAACGCTTTTTAGGTGACTTAAATTATGTTGCAGATTATTATAAAGATCTAGCAAAAGACACAGTCCTTTTGTACGATAGGCTCAAAAAGAATGCTAAGCCTTGGACCCAGCAACATACTGCTGCTGTAAGAAAAATTAAACTTAAAGTAAAAAATTTACCATGCATCCATCTTGCTAATATTCATTGGTTCAAAATAGTTGAAACCGATGCCTCTAATATTGGTTATGGTGGCATATTAAAACAAGTAGATCTCGAAACCAATAAAGAACAGTTAGTTCATTTTACCTCTGGTAAATGGGATAAAGCTCAGTTTAATTATTCCACAATTAAAAAAGAAATGCTTTCAATCATTAAGTGTTTCTCTAAGTTTCGAGATGATATTCTAAATCAAGAGTTCTTACTAAGAATTGATTGCAGTTCTGCTAAAAGCATTATCGAAAAGGATGTGAAAAATTTAGTCTCTAAGCAAATATTTGCTAGATGGCAAGCTGAATTAGCTGTATATCAATTTAAAATTGAATATATTAAAGGAGATTATAATCATCTTCCTGATTTTCTAACCCGTGAATTTTTACAGGGTACAAATGAGACGGAGTAATCCCTCCTTTTTAGGGAGGGGGAGAGGAGGCCCAAGTTCCGGCTCAAGTCTAAGCCTCGGCCTTATAGGCCCAAATGATTCTGAAAGGAGTTATACTCCATCTCAACAACCCAATTCATGGCGCACTATTTCGAAGAAACATAATTCTTCAAACCCATCTCAAGCCTTTTATAAAGGCATAAACGATCTTATTGCACAGGAAAATACTCCTGAGCCCTTTACTTCTATAGTAAGGCAAGAAACAGCATGGGTTGAAAAACCAACCTCCGATATTGTTCTATATCTAGAACAAGAAGATGTTTCCTTAATGAATGATCCAGAGAAATTAAGGCAGAGATACTTGCAGGATACATATTATCCGACATTAGCTTTAAAAGCAAGAGCCTGGATAAAAACCCTTATGATGCAAAAGGGCATGGAAACTACACATTTCTGGACTACTGATAATCATAATGTCCCTCCAAGCTTTAGTAAATGCATTATTCAGGAAGTTATACTTCCTAGAAATTGGGCACTAAATCCTAATCAGGAGCTGCCACTTGTCAGAGTTCAAAATTTGAAGTTGGTATTATTCCAGAACCCATAATGAAGTTATACTCGTCTTGGGTAGATTCCCATCCTATTCTTGCACGAATGGACGAAAGCCAGCTTATAGATGGCATGTGTTTAATACACTTCTTTGCTGAAGTTGAGATCCCATGGATCTGGAATTGGTCTATTATTTGTGATTGGACCCCTTCTCATATGCCCGTTCTAAGAAGAAAATATTATTGCAGATGGTGGAACGGAATATGCCTTGATACTAAGGTAAAAGAACTTGAAGAAATAATACAGAAAAATACTTCTGTACTGGAGTCTCATATGACTCAGGAAATTAAACAAGACAATCCTATGATGAAAGTTGCCAAAATGATGCGGCGAAAATATCCCCAAAGCTCTGAATCAGAAATTAAGCAAAAATGTTTAGAACATTTCAAAAGGCAATTCTTTGAAGCCTTTGACACCAGTGAGACTAATAGTCATACTTCATCTATGGAAGAAGATACTCCATTACCTGATGCACAAGACCCTGATGATATTTGGGCCGAGATTTTTGACAAAGATATATCAGACCTTAAAGGGAAAAGCCCAGCTTCCTAAGCAGAATTCTAGATTGAGCCTCGGGGAGCCGTCTAGAATTTACTACTAATAAAAGTCTTTAAAAGCAATAAGAAGAAGTCATACTTCCTTAATGAGATGGGCCCCAATGTTTCCTACTATTGCAAATTATGCATCCTAAGCTTCTCGTTTACGAAGGGTCACTATCAAGAAGTTACTATCAATGTTTAATATATTATTAAGATAAGTCACTTTCACCTTTAAAGATGTGCCACGAAGCATCTCTCGAGATTTCTAAAAACATCTGAAGGCATCTGAAGGTAGTTATAAATATGAAGTCGAGTCTGTGTGTATGCAAGTTTTTGGAGAAAGCCTTGTAAGTGAGAATAAAATATTGTAAGAGTGTTGAGTGTTCTTCTGTAATCATAAGAGTGTTGTAAGTGTGCTTGTAAAATATTGAGGAGCTTAATAAAGATATAGTTTTGAGAATCGGCAAGCGTACTCTGTAAGTATTTACTTTCTTTCTATTTTTCACCGCTTTCTAATTTCTGGTATCAAAATATATAAAGGGTTGGAGACTAATTTCGAAATATGAAGATTTGGGGTATACTTTCAGAGTGAAAGATTTGAGGAACTACTATGGAAAATAGCCCATAAAATCTGAAAATCGAGAACTTCCACTGGCAGAAAAGCGCTGTTTGCTGTGTGCTCATAGCCAGCTGGTCCCTCCTCTGACCCCACTCTCGTCAACGCCGCGGGTCTCGACTCTCGACTCGACTCGCCCCAAAAACTAACAATCACAACTCTCTTCAAGTCCATTTAATTAAGATTCGATCTTCTTCATTGTCAAATCTCCTTCGTCTTCTCCTTCTTCCTCCAATTTCTCTCCAACAAAACCATGAATCTCTTCGGCAAGAAACCAACGTCGAAAGGTTTCGCCCTAATTCTTCATTCAATCAATTTTTGTCGAATTTTGTTCAAATATCGTTGATTTTCATCTTGATCGACGTGTAGAATCAAAATCTAGGGTTTTTGTGATGATTCTTTTTTGTTGTGATTACAGAGGTTCTTCGTGCCAGTAAGCGAGAAATGACGACCGCGACCAGAGGTATTATAAAATTATCCTATCGAAATTTCGATTTCTTTTGTTAAACTAAGCGTAGATAGGTTCGAGTTACCTACTATTGGGATTTGATTTATGAAATTGTTGATGCAAATATCCAAACAATTGATATAATACTAAGTTCCTAAAACGTGAAGGAGCGTATCAATTTGCACTGGGATTTTAGATTCCTAAAATCGCGTTGGGTTTATAGAACCCTAGGCGAAGGATCATATCACTTTGCAGTGGGAATTGAAACGTCTGCTAGAGTTGAGATTACTGGTGTAGTTTCTTTATTCCAAGCACTCGACTGCATTCTGTTAGGAATCTTGACCCCAAGATTAGTTTTACACTTATAAGATTCACATATTGTGCAAATTATGTCATTTCAGAGGCTATAAATAGGTTTAAACATTAGAAAACAAGCACCAAGTTTTACACTTATAAGATTCACATATTGTGCAAATTAACTCTCTAAACTTTCAGTTTTTCAATCTGTTTTTCTATAAAAGAGAGTTTCTGATATTGCCTTTGTTCCTATTATTCTTAGAGCTTGTTTAGGCAATATTCAGAGAGTTAAAAAGATTGATAAGCCACTGTTACACGTTCACATCCACATCAAGGCTTATAGGATTGGAAGTGTACATTGCTTCAAAGAAAGGTTCTCTCGGTTTATGAGAGGGTTGATCTCTTGGTCTAGAGGTCGGTTTACAATTGACATGATCTTGTCAATTGGGTTTGTAATTTGCATGGTCTTGCAAATTGGTCAGGTTTGCTTTTGATTTTGTAAGGTTTTAAAATCATAGTGGAAACTCTCAAGCAGGATTTGCTTGGGGACTGTATGTACACCGGGGAGGTGGAACCAGTATACATGCTTGTGTTTGTGATGTTCATTTTCTGAGATTGCCATTCTTTCTTTGCAATTTATAATCTACTTTGCAAACTCACCCTCTAGTGTTTAAGTGTAAAGCTTCCGCAGATTTTTATAAGAGCGCACTCTATTCTTAAGGGTCACGATCCTACACTTGGTATACATAAGCAAAATCAGACCCTACATATTCCCCATGATCCACTTAGTTCATTGTAAAAAAAGAAAAATGAAAAAGAAAAAGAAAGAAAGAAATTCGGCATAAATCCCACCATTTTCTCTAAAAACTATTCATTCGTTTGAAGGAAATAAATTTCCGTTTGCCATTGCCTAGCCGTAGTGATATTCTGTTCATATTTTTGGGATAGAAACGATGATTCGATTTGCTTGATAATTGAGCATGACATTGGTGGTTGTCTGATTTGTTAAGGTGTTCTGATTGCTTGCTAGAAATTGTTAGACCAGCATATTAGAGCTTATCTTTTGTATTATGGGTTTTTTGATACAGTACCAGACCACCAGGTTCTAAGACATGATGAGTTTAAATCTCATATTATTGCTTCACGTGATGGAAAATATGAAATTTTAGTTTGCTTATTGTGTACTGTTTTTCCCTGGCACCTGAACCCTCCAATCCATCTTCCAAACTGCTTCCACCACCAGCCACTTGCATCTAAATACTCCAGCTTTGTTTATTCTGGCTGATTATTCTTTTTATGTTGAAGGCCTTAATGTGTTCCATTGGGCGAATGTTAAGATAGCATGGAATTGATTGGCGAGCGGATGTATATTAGAGGCGAATGTTCATATGTAGTTTCTATTAGAGTCAAAGCACTAAAAAACTAACCGCGTGTAATATGTGGGATGTGCACAGTATGGATCACTAGAGAATTTTTACCTGTTAATGTTATGTGGAATTTTTGCATGATATGGATCACTATTCACTAGACAACTATAACCATGCATGACATGTGGAATGCGTGTGCAGTATAGACCACTGAACAAATGTAAGAATTCATGATTGTTGAATGCACATGTGATGTTGATCATTAGATGATTGTAATCGTTCATTAGTACGTGCTGTGTTTATCTCATAGTAACACCACAACAACATGCATATGTGTGTGTGGAGAATGTGTTTTTGGGGATAGGGATAGTGTATGAAGGGTTTGTTGAAATTGAATTAAAAAAGAGGACAACCATATTTTATGAGCAATAACATCTGGAAAAGCTTTAAGCAGTATGGGAACTCAAGGGCATTCTTCTGTCGTAAATTATAATTGATGGCAACTAATGATAGCCATCAATTCAATTTTGCATCTAAAGAATTTGTTGGTTCAATGCGTGAACTTGTTCTTTTTTTGGACCCCTATTTGGTAACTTGTTTAGTTACTAACATACGTCATATACATTTTCTTTTGGTATTTTGATCCATCAATTGCACTCACTATCTATTTAGTTTATATTTATTTATTTATTTTTATTTTGAATTTTAAAATACTCTTTTTCTTACTTTTAACTCTTAGAATTATGAATTTCTCAGTCAACTCTGAAGTTTCTTTCTATTTTTTTTGTAAAAGAGTTTTATGCAAATGTTATGCACTAACCATTTTCATACTGATTGTATGACATGTTTCAGGTATTGAAAGGGAAATTGCTGCATTGCAGTTGGAGGTATTCATGATGAAACATATAGTATCAACTGCTCCAGTTTATAAGCATTACTTATGAACACTTTATTATATCTCAGATATTTAGATCATTTTACTGATTTGCTAATTTGGTTGACTTACTGCCAAGGGTTATTGAACATTCTCTTTACAACATGCGTTTTAGTACTAAAATTTTGTTGGTTGGGTTGATTATTTCTTCTCCTAATACAAGTATTATAGGTAGCTGTCCGTCTCCAACTCTCTTTACATGTATCACATTCTCTTTTACATTATTATTATGTACAACTTTATCATTTTTGTTCCTCCACATTACTGCATCTAAACTTTTTATCTAATATTCTCAATCTTCCTAGACCTCTAATCTACATTTGTTTCTTGCAAACAAAGTATATTGATTTTTCTTCTAACCATGTCATCCACTAATTCCATCGTCTTTCCAGCCAACGTATCTATATTCCAAGCAGTCAAATCCTATTGTCATGCATAAGCCTCCTTTTCCTCTCCTATAAATCTGTAACTCATGACAGTTTTTATTTGGAACTTTGCTTATCCTCGATGTTTTTTAAATTATAGTTGCACCAGAGTGGTACTGGTTCACATAGGAGGCGGTGCCCTAGGACACTACCTTCATTTATTTATCATTGCACCAGGCATTTGTGTGATGTGTCATGATGGTGACGCCCGATTAATGTGGGGATGGCCCAGTGAGTGGTTTCTAGGATTCGTGTCATAGAGCTAATTGTCCTTTAAATTGACTGGTTGCTATTTAACACAATGCTCTTGCTTTATCTTGGTCTAGGACATATAATGAAAGAATAAAATATTAAAGAGCAACACTGGTGGTGTTGTATCTGAAATACCAGGACAGAGCAATGTGAAGTATATAAAACTTTTAGGGACTTGGGAGAACACTACCCTTAAAGAATCTACTCACCTTTTGATTTTGGTCACATTTTCTCGAACTCTTGCTTCCTTACAACAAGAATAAGTATTTTAGGCTAGTGCAACTGAAATTGCACCCTCTAGACATACAAGTTTTTTCTTCTTGTTTGTCAGAATCTTGAACATACATGGTAGAACATCCTTAAGTGACATACTTGGACCTCGTAAAAATTACAGATTATTTACTATCACCAATCTGATCATCGCAAGGGACTTTATATTGTGGAAAAACTTGTATCCTATCTGACAACAATAAGAATATTAAAGGAAGTACATAGTTGTATAGTGTAATAGATTACAACAAAAGTAAAGCTCTTTTTTTCCAAAATTTTGTTCTGTTATAGTCAGGGACTCAGGAATCCTTTTTTCATCTACCATTGACAAAATTCAAGAGTCATATATTCAGTACAATATATAATACTGTGATGAATACAATACCTGTTCTCCACTTGTCAGGCAGATGGCAGATGAACCCTCCCTCTAAAAAAAACACACACAAAAAACCCAAAATACACTATCGCAACAGATCAACCCCACTATACACAGACCCACATGCACAAACACACACAAGCGAACTTAAAGTGAGGAAGGGAGCCCCTTCCTTCCTTCTCTTGGTCTTCCTTTCCCTGATGGCACAACCCGACCAGCCCTTGTTCCTCTCTCTCTCTCTCTCTCTCTCTCTTATTGTGCACCACTGCACTGTTACTGGCTTACAGCCTAATCTTGAGGTAAGTTTTAGGTATACAGTGCATGAGATTTTGTTGGGCACTGCCAAACTACAAAGAACCATATGGATTACCTAACGCTGTGAGGGCTTACAGTTGCTTGCATGATGATAGGAGAAACGAATGGTGGCTGAAATAAAGAGAACTGCCAAAACTGGAAATCAGGTGAGTTGTTGTCGCATAAATGGGTTATAATCGTTGAATGTTCACAGAGAATTCATAACCTGCATGTATTTCTTTGTGTTGACAATCTTCTGTTCACTGTGCAGGCAGCAACTACGATTTTAGCTCGTCAACTTGTCAGACTAAGGCAACAAATTGCTAACTTACAAGGTAGTCGTGCTCAAATGCGAGGCATAGCTACGCATACCCAGGTGGGATAATGGAACTCTTTTAACTTTTTACCAACCTTCTAGCCCACTGTTACTGTGATTTGTTGTGCTTATTCTTTGGTTTTGACAACTTTAATTAGGCTATGCATGCAAACACTGCTGTGGCTTCTGGGATTGAAGGTGCTAGTAAGGCAATGGGAGCCATGAATAAGGTAATGAAGCATAACCCTTACTAGTTACCATCTATTTATAGTGGCAAATCTCCTTCCATCATGAAGATTCAGAAAAAAAAGAATGTCAGGAAATTTCCATTTGGTCCTTCACTTATATTGGGGCTTGAAAATCAATGCAATTATTACAAAGCATTTCATCTTTTTTTTTCATGGTATAATATAGTTTCCTACTTAAAGTTTCAACATGGTTGTGCAAGGTTTAGCTTCATAATCAGGCCTAACCCATAGAGCAAGGTTACACATTTGTAGTTAAAGTTTCTTCCTGGTCGTGCAAGGTATAACCAAGAGGGTAAGACGACCTACCGACAGAGCGAGGTTTTCCCCTGGTTGTGCAAGGTTAAGCTTCTTAACCAATTGTCCAATAGGATAGGACCTATGAAGCACCGACACTCCATTCTTGGCCCCGAGTCCGTGTCTGACGCGTAACGGACGCGACACACGTTCGACACGCCGTCGACACACGGTCAACGCCCCCGACACGCGTCTCGACACGTTCTTGACTCGCCGAATTCTGCCCGATTCATTCTCGACACGCGAATTCACCCGAAATACCCCTATACCATCAAAAAAAAACCCAAACCCTAGACCTATCGATCGAGCGGCAGCCTCTCATCTCTCTCTCCCCCTCTCGCGATCTTGTTCTCTCTCTGAATCCTCTCTCTCTCTCTCTCTCTCTGAATTTTTATATGTTTGCAAAGTTAGACTTGTTAGTAGCTTAGTATTTTGTGTTTGAGGATTACATTTTAGTTTGTTGTTTGAATTTTATAAATTTATCTATATATAATAATAATATTTAAAAAAATCTAGCCATGTTTACCGTGTCCAATTTTTTTGGGTTTTGTCGTGTCCGTGTCCGTGTCGTCGTGTCCGTGTCCATGCTTCATAGGATAGGACAACCTACCTGCATAGCCATTTATCGTTTTCTTGGAAGCCTTTCTTTTGCCCATGGCTATCCAAGAAGGATTTAAAACCAAGCTAGGGAGGGGAAATGCTCAAATAATTTTTTTTTTCAAGAGCTCTCTCTTTTTTGTTTCTTGTACACAACCAGCCTCAGAGTGATGTAGTAAACCTTGTATTTGGATAATTATGCAAAAGGATACATACGTTAAAAGCTTACTTAAGTGGTAAAAAAACCGCTAATCCTATTTTTTGTTGCTTGTTTTGATGTTGTTTTCAGCAAATGGCTCCGGCAAAGCAACTGAAGGTTATGCAAGAATTTCAAAAGCAGTCAGCACAAATGGATATGACGGTAAGGCTATATTCCTTTTGGAGAACTCATTTCTTGAAACAATTACAAAAGAATATAGTTCATTCACTATAACAGCTATCAGTATTTCCGTTTGTTAAAAATGCCTTTGTGTGATTTCTATCTTAGATGCACTTTTGGTTCTTCTTTTAATTGTATATATATATATTATGCATAGAATGGACCCATATCAGATATGACATACACATCACCTTAATCTTTTGCTTCACTTAATATTGTCATCTGTTCTTGCTTTAATTGCATCTCATTAATATTTTTATACTCTTTCCTCTCATCAGATGTTTTTTCATGGATTAATTGCAAACAACCTCCCGTAATATAAAAGCGCAACCGCTTAAAACCCCTAAACTATTTTATTAGCACTCATACCTCCCAAACCTCAGTCGATGTTGGTTTAGTATGTCATGTGGGAGTTATGTCACACTTGTTTATCTTTTCATCCTCCATTTAGAGAGTTTAGTTTTTTTTAGTTAGACTGAGGGCAAAAAAATTCAGGGTAATACAACATCACACAAGATTAAATCCCTGTGGAAAAGGTCAAAATTCGTGGGGACTGGGAAATAACCATTGCCCTAGGACAATCTCTGGGAAACTAGCTCTGGGCAATACCCTTGATGGTCAAAGTCATTGCTGATAGACTAGTTTTAAATTTCGTGGGGAAAGCTTCGCCTCTGGAAAAAGTTACTGCCCATGTATCATTGCTATGATTCTAATTCTCTTGGTAGTTCATCTTCATGGATGACTTCCTTGGGTAAATTTTTTTCCCATGTATTTTTGGCTGTGGGCAAAAGCTATTGTGCAATGTGCAAGATGATATCATATCTGTAAGGAAAATTCTTGCTCCAGAAACTGTATTCAGTACTAGGTGAAAAGTTCATTCCATGGGTCTCTCAATTTATAATATTACTTTTGAATATTTCTTTTGATTTCCTAGTTGTTTTGTCATGCTTCTAACAAAATACAAACTAACCTATATCGTCAAGAATATCACAAATTTAGAGCAATTAGCATAGGATTTTATTGATAAATCTATTGTAATAAAACAAAATGCCATTGTTGCAATTACATATCCTGGTGAAAAACTCTCATTAGTTAATAGTGGTAAGCCTATAATCCCACCTTTTCTTCTTTCTTGAATAGAGGTTGCTCTTGTTACTATTTTGGGACAATCCTTCAACACCCTCTAACAGAGGATATTAAAAGTATCAGCTTGGAGTATACACACACACTCTTTTTTTTCCTCCCTTTTTCGAGGTGGGGGGACTAGATGCAATGTTAACATAAAAATGGGAATGAAGTAAATAAATAAATAATTCGTCTAAGTTACTGTTAAAATTGTAAAATCTTCTTAACCAAAATTAATTATTAGTGGGGGTGGAACAGTAAGCTTCTCCTAGCGCAATTCTATATTTACTTAATTAGAGAAAATTGTAGTGGTAGGATTGGTGATGTTTATCTCCTTGGATGATATTGCTCAAGGTAAAGAGGGGTATTCATCTGCCACCTTCAATATGCGTTGTGCGTTGAAAATAAGTTATGCAATTGCTACTAAGTCGATGTTTTCTTTTTTGAGAAAATAATACTCTATTAAAAAAAATCTTTAATGGAGCTTTACCAACTCGAAACTAGCTTGAAGCCCATCAGCTACACATGAAAAGTACAGAAATTTAAAAAGAAAGGTAACTGAAGGGGCATGCCTACTAAAAACATGAGACAAGAAGAAATTCATCTACATCAAACAATGAAGACTTACTATGATCAGTCCTCTGATGGTGGACCGTACGATTGCACTTGATACAATGAAAGTTTGCGTTACTTCATGGGCAGAAACCTAATTCAAGAAAATTTATGGATCAGTAGTAAATATCATTGTGGCAAAGTGAAAACAAAAAATCAAGTTCTTCCCATGTCAGGGAATCTGAATTTGGTAATATTGGGAAAAGAGAGCATAGAAGAGTTGATGATAGCACCACACACGTCTGTCTTTGTGATCGACGAGAGTTTAGAAGGGTTTGAAACTTTGGAAGGAGGGGAAACAGAGAGGTGTGATGGGAGAGACATCACATTTGCTTAATACAATACTAAAAAATAACAGCAAGAAATTTAGTGCCTGAAGACCAGTGTGCAACTGGATATGATCCAGATTAGATCTGATTTACTAAAACTGACTAACAACACTCACACTATAGGTTGTATTGTTTAAAAAATCTCAATCACTGGTAAGGTTCAAGTTCTTCTTGAATTATGTTTAAGAGCTCACTGGGCAATGCACTTTTAATTAATTTTTATATTAGCTCAGATTTATGCTTGGAAAACTTTTATACTGGCCAAACTTTCTTGCGCACTGTGATTCTTTCTTGTGAAGTTGTGCCCATGGACTAAAAACCTTGGGTAATATTCTCAATCCTCAGGCGTCCTATTTCTCGCTAAATTTCTACGGACTATGCCACCTGCCTAGGAAATTTTACCTAGAAAGAGAGCATCATGGTTGATATCGTATATTCCCAATAACTTACACACATGTCGAGAAGTTTCTGACTATGGTGCAATTTTCCAGTAGTGACTTATTGTCGCATGATTCCCACAAGACATCTCAAACTAACCGAAAATAATGTCGTCTATAATTTTGAAGTGTAATATCAGTAACGTAGTTTTGGGCTATAAGCTATATGACATGGGCATTTATCATGAAGCCATATCCATACCTGATGCTTCCACATCCTTCTTGTATACTCCTTTACAATATATGTGCATGCACTTATTCAAACATTTACTCAAATAATATAGTATGTATCTTAATTAAAATTTTTGACTTGTATAGAAACTAAATTTAGATAAAGCCTAATGTTTTTATAAAGTTGGTGAACTAAATCACTCCTTTTGGAAGGTCATTGAAATGGATGGGTGGTCAAGAATTGGCATACATGTATGATTATATTTTACAAATAATATTTTTACTCTTGAATGCATAAACATATGTATGAATGCATGTATTTAAACTTTCCCTTTATTATTGTAATATTGTATGTTCTAATATTATGTTGTCGTCTCTTCATATCACAGTGTCCTACTTTTCAAAGAATTGACGTGTCCAGTGTCTGTAGTGTTGTAGCTGTGTCCTGTGTCTGTCTCCAAAATATTTAGGCTGTAAGTTTGTAGTTTGATCTTTTCTTTATTGATCTGACCCTGCTTAAGTATGCATGCATGAGTCACAAGTAAACTATTCATTGTATTGGACATTATCTCATCAATTTGTAACATTCGATGATGCTATCTAATGCAGACCGAGATGATGTCAGACTCAATTGACGACGCTTTAGACAATGATGAGGCTGAAGATGAATCTGAGGAGCTCGTTGATCAGGTTACCATACTTTCCCTAGTCAATCTGATGGAAAAAATTGCTCTTTTAATTCATTTATATATCTCGAGTTATTTAAAATTTGTTCTACAAGTGCCTGACCTTACACTTTATCATTATTTCTTCTTGTATAGGTTCTGGATGAAATTGGTGTTGACATTGCCTCACAGGTTTTCTTTCAATTATCATTCTTATTAAAACCTTTAACATTCTCATCTATGGTATATAGTGTTTCATCTGCCTTTTTTTTTTCTGTCTTCTACAACAGCTATCTTCAGCCCCCAAAGGTAAAATTGCCGGGAAGAGTCAAGAGAGCGCTGAAAGGTACAACTATTGCATCTTCTTTCTATATTGCATCCTCTTTACATATTGCTTTCATGTTCATTTCTTATTTGTATATCAAGGGTGTGCCATTTCTTATCATGCTGTATTTGTTGTCCGTATTGCTACTCTATGCTTATGTTTCATATTTAATTCTGGTATCATGCAGTTTGGATGTCGATGAGCTTGAGAAGAGGTTGGCTGCACTTAGAAACACTTGAGTTGATGACATTTATTCTTTTTGTCGCAAAAATTTATTTAAGATTTGTTCTTCTAGTATTAAATTTGGTTGCATAATAATAAGGTACATAAAACATGATGTTCGAGTTATTGATGTAAATAGAATACTGTAAAGCCAAAGGGCAGTTGTGATCGAACCATCAGTATATGTGTCTATAGCGATGATAGAAAGTTTCAACTTGAATATTATGTTTATCGTCGAAAACATTGAAAAAAGATTTTTTCCCCCCTAAGAGTTTATACATGAACCTGGTCAAACCATGGGGCAGCATGAAGACACCTGTGACCTGATCAGACCCGAAAATTTCAGGAGCCTGCCCTAGAACAGGTGTGACTCTTCCCAATCATCACGCAGCAGGAAACCGTATTACCTTATTAAACAACACCAGGTAATCCTTTCTCCTCGGGGATGATTCCTGTCCTCAAGGGTCATTCCGCGCTGAGATCGGACAGCAGAAGGAATTCAAAAGATATAAGCTATGGGAGAAGTACCCACTGCCAAAAATAATTCTTGGCCGAGTGCGCTAGAGTGGG